TTATGTCGATGAATCATTTTATTTTGAACAACTTGAAATAGTGTTATTTATGAACTGTTGCTATGACTCGCTTGCTTGTTACATCTCGTGATTCCGCTTTAGCGGGGTGTGACACTCTTTGCGAGGGGAGCCTTCACATTAGTCATTTTAGAAGCATTTATGTTCTTTCCATTAACCAGAGAGGGTTGGGTACCGTTTTTAACATGATTAGATTTCTCACCCTTGATGGTTTGGAAGCCATCATTATCAGTAGTAGGCACATTTTCAGTAACAACATTTTCATTACTAGTGTTCACATAAGAGGCATTCATTTTGAGAAATAACATGGGAACATGAAGAATCAGAATGACCAAAATTCATACAATGAGAACACATAGGTGGCTTCCAATCATATTCGATACGTAGGGAATGAAAGAGTCATAATAAGAGAATCAGGGTCGGGGATGCGTACCTTAACCACATCAAGCCATTTTCTAAAACCTGTTAAATAACTACTTGGATTTTCTAAAAGCTATTAGATACATCCTTATAACCTATAAAACTGGTTAATATGCATTCATACATGTACCTATTTATAAATAACAAAAATTGAACGAAGCCGGAAAAATCAAACCATACATGTACCTGTTTATCTATCTAGCATTTAGCAAATAAATAACAAAACTTTATATTGAAAACCAAGCATCATCATCTAGAGTTAGTACTAGACATCTACGGTCTACCATTCTACCCACTATCAAACTGCATCGTCTCTTCAAAATCATCTCATAGTCATCAATCATCATCTATGTGAGGAAATGAAAGCAAAGCAAAGAAATTGGAAACCTAAATCGAACCTGTTTTCTAAATTCAAACTACTTGGACTAGGTTGTTGCTGCTTTGAATGAAATCAAGCTCCAAAATCAAAGAAATCGAACCTGTTATGTAAGAAATCAAAGAAATTTGGTGATTGAGTGAATAATAAATGAAAGAACAAGTGAAGAACGTAGCCACATAGATTGAATGTTTTCTGAAATCGAGCTCCAAAATCATGCCTTTGATTGGTTCAATCGATTCAATCCTTGTAAAAATCAAACCTGTTGAGCGTTGGCTGTTGTTGTTTCTGTGTTTCCCTACGGCTTGGTTCGTGTACAGAGCCATAGAGAGCGACTGCTCTATTGCTGGTAACGACGAGGGGGAGAGGGGTGAGCGCGGTACTGTACTTCGTTTCAACCACACAGCCGGCGGCGATGACGGAGCTGGGCCGAAGGTGTTAGCGACGGCGGCATAGGGAGAGGGGTGACTGTGGGACTGGAGTGAGGATGAACACGTTAGTTTCGGGGTTTTTTTTAATTTGTAAATTTACCTGATGTCTAGATTGTAGGTTAAATTTTTTTAATTAAAAAAATATATCTAACAGGTTTTAGAAAATTTAACAGGTTTTGAATTATCTAAAGAAAAAAGTTGGTCAAAAGCATTGGACGTAGAAAAGCTTTATAGCCAATTTACTAACGACTCAACTTTATGCTACATTAATCGCAATTAATAATCATCAATCCACTTTTTGAACAGTGTGTAGTAGTTGGTTCAGTGATTCCTTGCTCAAAAATCCACCCATTTCCATCGTCTCCAACTCATCTCAGATTTTTGCCACCTAATCTTCTCTAAATCCTCCATGAATTCCCGTTATTTGATCTTAAAACTACTCGTTTTGATCGTAATAAGAGCATCTTCAAGCAGGTCGGCCGGATTCTATGGCACCTGCAATGGCTCCTTCAGTTGCGGGAATCTTTCCGGCTTCCGATACCCTTTCCGGCGACACCAGGATCCTGCCTACTGTGGGTACCCTGGTTTTGAGCTCAACTGTGATGGAAAGAATCCGCCCACGATCGAAATCATGAAGATTATGTACAGGGTTCTGGGTGTCGATCCAACGGCCCAGATTCTGACGGTTGTTCGAGAAGACATGGTGAACTCGATCTGTCCGCAAGATCTAGTAAATACCACTATCGATCATGAGCTTTTCGATTACACCTCGAGCTATATGAACATCAGTTTTCTTTTTGGATGTCCGTTTTCTTTTGACCTCGTGGGGTTTGGCTCGATCTTTTGTAGTGTCGAAGAGGTTAGTCCAGTTTTTCTGATGCCTGGAATACAAGCTCCTGGTATCTGTAAGACTAGTGTTATCATCCCGGTTCCGGTTGGGTTTACGAACCCATCTGGGTTGAGTCAGGTTCTTCAGAAAGGGTTCGAGGTCAGGTGGAAGGTGGGACCCAAGCCCTGCAATGACTGCACCCAATCTGGTGGTCAGTGCATATACGACAGCGCCACAAGTCTCACCAGCTGTGCCTGCATTGAAACTCCTATTTTGGTGGAGAGTTGCTCGACAGTAAACAAGACCGGAGCTGGTTCATCACCACCATCATCGTCGTTGTCATCATCGGGTACGCAACTCTATTCTTGAAATGTTTTTTAACTTGTCTTTCATTTTGATACGTTCTACATGTCGTGTTTTACTTGGTAACTTATTTTTTGACATGATACGACAAAACAATATGAACCCTTGGATAATGTCGAAGTAGTAATTACACAAACTCGGAAAGAAAGATCCAAACGCTAACTAAAATATATTACCAAAAGACCTTAGTCTAACGGTGTGTAAGTTTTTGGCATTCTAGGAGGTCAGAGGTTTAAACCTTCACTAAAGATGAGGAGGGTGTGTTAGTTTATTTATTATATATAAATATTATATATATACTTTAAAAAAACTAAAATATATTATTATTTATTAATTTTTTTTGTATCACATTGATATTCTTTCTCGAGGAAGCAATTTGTAAGCGGCAAAACGAAATTTGAATTTCTGTTTGAATTCCAAATGGAATTCACGTCTCAGCAAAAATATCTTTATTATTATTTATTTATTATAATTAATTCCTAATATTATTAGGATTTCTGGATTGTTTTTATTTGTATTTATCTTCTTAGTACTATTATTATTATTATTACTAGAAGGGTATTTGCGTAATGCACCGAGAAATATATTGATTTTAATATTTTATTTTATTCTTTATTTCAGTCGATGTTATAGTATGGTCTTATGTGATTTTGAAAAAACGATGATGTTTTTATTTGTGAATAAAATATAAATTTGACAAAAAATATATCAATATTAGTATCAAATTAACTATTTAAAATTCATATTTTTGTATAATTTTTTAATTCAATTTTTTTATTATAATTTAAATTAGCTTCAATAATGAAATAATTTATATTTGGTTTAAAATATAATTTTCTTATAAAGATAATAATTAATTATTTTGTTAGAACTCTATAATTATCCTAAGTATATTTTAGATTTTTTATAATTTAAAATGAGATGTTTATCCTCTATTTGATTATGTTTATCCACAGTTAGTTAGACAAATTTAAACATAAAGCTTTAATAAGTTGTACTTATGTATATTTTACTTGTAATCTTGAATTTTAAGTAATATGTATCAATATACAGTACTTCATGCATAAAAATTGGTTTTTAAGAGTTTTTATCAAATGCTTTATAATATAGTATATATTATTATTATTATATAAAATATTAATAACAATAATTAAAATAATATTTTCATTTATTTCCAATATGTATGTATCCATAAAACCAACAAGAAGTAACATGCATATGATTATGTTTTAGCATGGGTCATAAAATAACATACATATAATTATGTTTAAAAAAATTAAAAATATAACATTTATTATATTTAAAAATCAATATTTTACTTGATGGGTTCCACCATTATTTGCAAAATCAAACGTGGATCATTTTTTTTATTTCTTTGTTTTATTACATAAAAGAAATATAAACCCCAAAAGAGAGAATATCTCAAATGACCATTTTGTCCCTCTTTTGTGGCATATGACCCTATTAAAGTTTCAACTTACACCAACAAGTGCTCTCCAAATACTTAACATAATAAAAGATGAGATTTAGGGTTATGGTGATCTTTACTTTCATCTTGTCCAAATGGATGATTCCTAATTCTATTGAAAACCCCAACAAGAACCGATGATGCACGAGACAAGAGTTGTGGCAATGAGTTCGTTTGTGGAACAGTGGAAGCTTGAGGTACATTAAGTACCTGTTTTGGGGTGTAAACAGCCTAAATTACTGTGGTAAACTAGGTTACAAGGTAGATTGTGTCAATCAGAGTATCCCTGTGATAGAAATTAAGTCGCTAAAACATCGAGTTTTTGAAGTCAACTACCACACACAAACCATCACGGTCGCAAGATTGGACTATTGGAGAGAAATATGCCCTTCAAAACTCGTTAACACCACCATTGACTTTGAGTTCTTTAATTACACTTTTGGCATCGAAACATGACTTTAGATTATGAGTGTCGTTACTCCCCACCTTAGGTTCCGACTCCTATTTTGGAGTATTTTTGAACAATAAACAATACAAAAACCAATGTGATCTACGCCCCATCTCTTCCATGCAACCAATATGTTTTTGTACCCGTTTTGGAAAACGCTGCAAAGGATCTTGATCTAAACCAAACAAACCTTGTCAGTGCCTTAGAAAAGGGGTTTGCGCTGCAATGGTATGTAGAGAGCGAGCAATGCAAAAATTGTATAATATCAGGATGCTTATATGGGATTGATCATGATAATCATTTCATTTGCTACTGCTATGATCATCCATATCAAGATAAATGTCTTAAAACGTCAGGTATTTCTATGTATATATATATATATGTGTGTGTGTGTGTGTGTCGGATTGAGTTCCGGTGAGAATGAAAGTTATGATGAAAAGCGTAAGAAGAGATTTTCACCTTTGGATCAAAATTGAATATCAACACTAGTGAGGTGTATCAAGAGGTGAGCATGAAATTAAAAGTGATCAAGGGTCAAATCTTTTCTTACACTTCTCACAATAACTTACCTTCTCGCATAATCCTTTGCCTATATATATACAACCATAAGTTATTTTGAGAAGTGATAAATATTTGAGAAGTAAAGAAGTAATCCTATTCCTTCATACCGTCAAGATCATATTTGACTCATCAAGAACTGCGGCTTTGACTCGTTAAACTTTTCCACTATGCAAAAAATAGAGAGAGTAGTTTCATAATTTTTACAAATAGGCGACAAACGGGTTCGTATGTGAACCCGCGTGATTCACATATGAATAGTACATGATATTTTGGTACGTGCGACATTAAGTTTATTTTTTTGTATTAAATTGAATTTCTTTTGGTTTGAGGTTATTAATTATTATATGATGTTGTGAATTTTTTGTATTAAATTAAATTCTTTCCGCTTTAAGTTTATTGAAAATATGAGAGATTTAAACATATGTGGTGTCTCAAACATTTGATTTATAATAGGTTACATAAATGGGGAAAAAAAGAACCTCATTTCCCATTGGGAATCCTCGTTCCCTGTTGGGGAAGAAGATGTGATCATATTCCCCGACCGCTTGGGGGGGGGGGACAAGGATGGGGACGGAGATGAAGAGTCGGAGATGGGGATAGGGATTGAGGTCCCCGTCCCATTTCCATGCCTAATTCACATATGAATTAATCAACCGATTCACATATTAACATCCAGTTCATATGTTAATCGCATAGATTCACATATGAACCTGTTTGTTGTCTGTGTGTTTCACTGTCAAAGCCGCAAATGTTACCCAAATGAAGAGTTAAAATCACTTCTTTACTCCTCAAATACTTACCACTTCTCAAATGAACCTTTCCATACATATATACATATGTACATACATATATACATATATATATATGTATATATATACATACACACACATATATATATATATACATACATATACATACATATAGTGAGTCTAGCTAGCTTATCCTCAACTCATAATAACCTACAAAATTTATGAAGTATAACGTATGATTTTATTAGCATATATAATTCGTCATGGACATACATTTGGCTATTTGCCCAACCAATCAATTTTCTTATTTAAAAAATAATTCTGTCATTTTGCTTCATATTTTTCTTATTTTATGAGCCATCATTATCTTCTTTAATTTTTTTAATACAATTTATATTTTTAAATATTTATAATTTAAATTGTTGATACCATTTTTTTAATTAGTAATTACTTCATAAAAAATTGTCACATCAAAATAAAAATAACCAATTTGGATTTTTTTGCCCTTTCACATACTATATAATAAGGTTTTATAATAATATTTTCCTGTCTTCTGGTTTTATAATATGATTTTTTACTTCAGGATTATGATATAAGTATTTTATTTCTATATGTGATAGATATTGATAATGACGTCGTTTATATTTTATTTATAAATTATTAGAAATAGATGTTCATTCAACAGTACAATAGGTAATGTGGTCCATATAATACAACAATACTGATGGTTTCTCTCTTCCCATTAACAGTTCATAAACAATGATCGCTATTCATTATTTTTTGTTATTCTATCAACTCTCTCATGTTCTTCGTCTTATTACTCAACTTAACTTAAGTGTCGTTTACCAAACACTTATTCGGTAAGTACTTACCGGTAAAATTTAACACTATTATTTACTTAATGGTTAAGATTTTTAGTCCACCAAAACGACATTGTATGCAACAATTTACTTGGTAAACACTTACCGTGGTAAGAGTCGTCACCCTCACTTACCGGGTAAGACTCTTGGTCCTTGTCTCGCTCTTACCGGGTTAGATTCTTAGTTCTTACAATATTTATCCGGTGAGGTAATGTTAATTGGTAAACACTTACCCGGGTAAGCATTTGGTAAACGACCCCTTTGATTTTCTCTCACTTTTCATGAGACCTGTAATTACCATCATTAGTTGAATATCCTATATCAATATATCAGTTGATATCATTAATTGACAGTAATTTTAACGACCTTTATTATACCAATCCCACAACCATAAAGGGAGAGATAAATTGTGGCGTCCTAGAGAGTTAACTGGTCGAATTTGAAACAGAGACCTTATTGCAAAAAACTCCACCCCTTTCTATCGTGACAATTCATTATTTGTTACAACGAGATATTATAAATATTTTAATCGAATGAACATGAAAGGGTCCTTAGATCTAAAATCAACGAGTGTTAGTCTTTTATGTTCATTATATTCCAAATCGATGGTCCTAAAAATCTAAAGGCGTAAAATTTTATCAGGTCAAGTCTTTGGACCAAGTTAGTCAACATATATCTTTCACAATAGAAACTTCTCTCTTGTTTAAGTCTTTCACAATTCATTTGAAACACCGGTTTGTTTGAGATAACCACATAGTCCAGTCAACCCAAACCTGATTAAACCGGTGCATTGCTTGACGCAAGCTCGAATACACATCTAGATCAAGTAATTTCTTTGTAGACTTAAAAAAAGGGTATATCAAGTTTTGAGTTAGGATTTTATATTTATATATGTATTAACTTAATTATCGAAATTGAAGTAAATATTACTTTTTGGAATTTCCAAATGTTACATTTTTCATGTCACAATACATTTTTTTATAATATTAAAGCTATAAAATTCTGAACGACTATATCAATCTTAACTAATCGTTTTTTGTCACTATTATAAACCTTAAGATAATGATAGCACAATTAGAAATTTAACATCTTTTTCCAAACATTTATATATATATATATATATATATATATATATTAAATAATTTTAAAGGTGACGTCTGATTGGTTTGAGCTTGGCTTCAAAGGTCAAAAGTACCAGAAGGTCTCAAGTTCAAATCCAAGGAGGAATAAAAATTCTTTGTGGCCATGGAGGTTCAAATGCGGCGACTCCGGGCTATCTGCAAAGCAGGTGGTCGTCTTGAGATTAGTCGGCTTGCATAGCGGGTTAGGTATCCAGGTTAATCAAAAAAAAATTATCATTAGTTGTTACACCCACTCTAATTTTAGTATAGAATTTAAGAACTGTTTGGTTAGTTTTCTGTTAAGGTTTTTATATTAATTTGTCTGTATAGATTTGAAAGGTTTTTAAATAAAAAAAAATTAATTTATGTGTATATTGGTTGGTTTTTCTCTTAAATTTTGTAAAATATGTTTTGAATAAATAAAAAATTAATTTAAAAAACCCAATTAATTCCTTAACTTGTTACGATGGCTTTTGAATTATTCAACGATCCATTTTTGACTAATATTTTTTAGTTTTTAAACCATTACGTAGGGTTGATCCAAGTCAACTTTATATATTACTAGTCAATGGAAGCTTCTATTTTATTTAATTATTTAATAATTAAAAAACGTTTTTATTACAAGTTGGTGAAAATTGACAAATTAACAAATCAAATACTCGTTTTTCCTTTTCATTCTTCCCATCAAGTTCCTTCCTTTCGAACCGATTCATCATTCTCTCATTCACCGGTTTCTTATCGATCGAACCCAACCACCATGACAACCCGTCTCCACCCGACCCCAACCCTCTTCGTGTCTGCGGTGATTCTAGCCATCGTTGTTCGTTTTCCGGCCATCCGGTGCCAAGGTACTTCACGATATGATGCTTGTGGTGAGTCGATCGAGTGTGGGAACGATCGACTCGAGTACCCGTTTTGGGGGTCAGGCCGTCCTGCCTATTGTGGCCACTCGGGTTTTCAGCTCACTTGCCAATCCAGTGTTTTCATACTCAACTACGAATCGGTAGACTATCGAGTCTTACGAATGGWTACCAGTACACAAGTAATCACCATTGCTAGAAATGATCTTTATACCGACTCTTGCCCTCGATATCTCTACAACACCACCTACAACTCGACACTCTTCAACGACGATAATTTTGACCAAGAGAATGTATCCTTGTACTACGGGTGTAATTCTACTCTAACAACGGTGACGTTGCCATTTGCTGGTTACATATTTGAGTGTAATGTGAATGACACCCAAACTGACAGTTACTTCTATAGAACGAGTCTGGTAAACAGCAACTTGATCAACTCCTTTCAATTGGTTTCGTGCAACAATCATATCACTGTACCCGTGAATCAAACTTCGGCCACTCAATTGGGGTTGCCCACTGCTACAACGAGTCAGCTAAGATCAGCTCTGACTTCTGGTTTCAATCTACGGTGGACGGTGTATAAAGACGAGTGTGATCGGTGTATGCGGTCCGAAGGTCGATGTGGGTCCAATTCGACTTCTGGGGAGTCGTTTGCTTGTTATTGTGCTAGCGGGGAATTCTCGCGAACTTGTAACAATTCGAATGAAGAAGGTAAGTGATTTTTAATTTCCAACGTTGTAGGTCCATATTCCCCTTAGATTATGAACATTTTCTTGATCTGTAGATCATAATTAACATAGTAGATAAGATTAACGTTGCATACATATACATATACATATACATATACATATACATATACAGAAAGATTCTTTCCATGTTACATGATACAAAAAATAAAATGAAATTAATTGTTGTTAGGTCAGCCTTTTGAATTATTCGGTGGGTGTATGTTTTTGACCACTTCCTTTTAATTTTTAAATTACTTTGTGTCCCTGTTTTTGCCATTGAGAATCAAGTTTACACATAACTCGATAGGGGTCTATATTCCGTTTACACCACCCTTTATCATATTTATTTACTGTACCCAAGAAAGATTATATAAAATAACATAGAATACACTTCTTTTATCGGATACCTGTTAATCGGATAAGAATCACCATCATCATAACTTACTGGGTAAGATTTTGGTCAATAAGATGCACCCTCTCATCACGAGGAGAGAGAAGGAAACCTTCTCAATCAAGACGGAGGGAKGTCACATAGGTCCTTCTAGCTGAGCTTGTTGATAAGGAGTCAAAATCTAAAGACTTCTGATATTGATATTACGGTGTTCGATTCGTTTTCTGTTAAGACCTGTATGGATATAACTGTCTGTATTGATATAGTTGTCTGTATATTAACAGATAAGTTGTTGTTCGGTTGTTGTGCTGAATAAACAGTCTGAATGTCAGAAATGACCATTTTACCCCCGGTCTTTATTTTTGTCCGAATAAAACAACAGTTTGATAAAAATGTTGAACACATGACTTATAGTTATAAAAAATTATCAATTTAAAAGTTTTTTTAAATAAAAACAGCTTGATTAACATAATTATGAGTTAAATGTTATAATCAAAACAATATTAATAAGTCCTTATAATAAAAACCCAAGTCAACTTTTTGTCGGTTTTCATAAGTCAATTTGCAATATAGCACATGGATTTGTAGTAGTAGATTTGCAATATAGTAAATGGAATTGCAAGCAAATGGATCTTTCAATCAGAACTCAACTACTAAACGTCTAGAAATACCTCGTTGCTGCTATTGCTTGGGTCTCATGGTCGCCGGTGGCGGCGTTCAGGCGAAGACGTTTGCTGCTGCTAGGAGGGTGAAGGGAGACGGCCGATGAGAGGAGTTTGACAATTGAAATCGATGCTCCTGTGTTCCGTTTGACTGATGAGTTTGAAACTGTACGGGTGGTTGTGGCGGTGGTGGTTGGAGGCGGAGGGAGTTGGGACTCGTTACAGGGAATGGATCGTTGAATAAGGCGAGGTTGACGATGAATGGTGCAATTTTGGGGGAAAAGAGGGAAAGGGTAGATTTGAAATAAATGGTTGTATAAGTGGCCGAGTCCATAGGACTCAACTTTTCTGGCTGACCGGTTAAGCCATCGGCTAATCGAATAAGCCAGAAGTGAACAATAGTATATGACTGACCTAATAAGCCATTCAGACTTAACAACCCATTAAATCATTACCGAACAGCCCCTAAGTGTCTCTTACCCATTACTAAACAATAACTATTTAGTTTCTTGTTAAGAGATGGTAAATGTTTGGTGTAGGTCGATCCCAAATACCCCACTCTATTTGACAATCTATTTTTAATTTGTTTTAAACATTTATTAATGAATGTATGTTTACGATACTTTACTTTATTATGATCTATTTATCATAAGAATGTCCGGATCGTTTTGCAACAGTAGGACATGTAACCCACAAGGTGTTCGACGTTTTGCCTTCTGAGATAACATGACTCAAAACCAACCACTAATTACTGGAATGACTTGCATACTCGTCAATTTCGTTGTATTTCCTAAGTGGGATCGTTTACTTGTGAATTTTAAGTAAATGTTTTGATGGAAAGATGTTACTTAAAAGAGGTCTGGTCTCAGTATAAGGAATATTGCGAGGATCTAACATTTTGTTGAAATTTTGTATATTTGCAGGGAGTTCCAAGAATGGGTCTCTGATCATAAGTATGGATTCCATTCTATCACTAAATAGACTCTAATTTCTTCCTTTAATCATTGTTTCAAGAAACTAAATTTATTCTTTTATCTTCGAATTCTAGTCCTTCCAGTCATTGGAGCGATTCTTGTTGCCATTGGGATCGTATTTGCCATCTTTGTCTGCAGAAAGAAGAAAAGGCGTGCGATTAAAGAAGCATCACCTGGCCAAACCGAAACCAAAGCCATTCTAACTATTGATTCGAGCAAAACATCAACCACCGACACTCAATCTAATTTCACTTCCAGCATTCCTTCGTATCCGTCGTCGAAATCATCTAAAGATTTTGCGAAAAGCTCCTATTTTGGAGCTCATGTTTTTAGCTACGAGGAACTAGAAGTAGCTACCGATAACTTCAATGGTTCAAGAGAACTTGGAGATGGCGGTTTTGGAACTGTGTACTATGGTAATACTATAAACCCTTGTATTTTATCGTCAAAATCTTGGCATTTACGTACACCACTACAATAAAATTGGCTTTATAGGATATCAAAAACAAATGTTTAGGACAATTAGGATAATTTATTTCAAAAATCTTCCAAAAAACTTGTTAGGAAAGCCAAAAACTTCGTATCAACCTATCGTAACACTTCTACATAGATATTTAGACATATTTGATGTTCTATAAAACAAATTTTGCAGTACTGTACAAGCCTTTTGTTCAACTCTTTCGATATTGTTTTCAGGTAAGCTTCTTGATGGTCGAGAAGTTGCTGTCAAACGTTTATACGAGAACAATTTCAAACGCGTAGAGCAGTTCATGAACGAAGTTGCGATCTTGATGGGTTTAGGTCATGAAAACCTAGTGAAATTATATGGCTGTACATCAAAGAGAAGCAAAGAACTACTTCTAGTTTATGAATACATCCCCAATGGCACAGTAGCAGATCATCTTCATGGAAAACTAGCAAACTCAAACTCCTGTCTGTTTTCATGGTCGGTCCGCCTCAATATCGCCATGGAAACAGCCGAAGCCCTAGCTTATCTACACAAAAAAGACATCATACATCGTGACGTGAAAACCAACAACATTCTTTTAGATAAAAGTTTCCGAGTTAAAGTTGCAGATTTCGGGTTATCAAGATTGTTCCCAAACGACGCGACTCATGTTTCGACCGCCCCACAAGGAACGCCGGGATATGTTGATCCTGAATACTATCAATGCTATCAATTGACCGATAAGAGTGATGTTTATAGCTTTGGGGTGGTCTTGTTTGAGCTCATATCTTCGTTACGAGCCGTTGATACAGACCGACACAGGCTCGATATAAACTTGGCGACTATGGCTATGACAAAGGTCCAGAACCATTTGTTGGATGAGTTGGTTGATAAGAGTATTGGGTTTGAGAGTAATGGGTCGGTGAGGAGGATGGTGACTTTGGTGGCGGAGCTGGCTTTCCGGTGTGTGCAACAGGAGAAGGATATGAGGCCGACGATGAAAGAAGTGGTGGAAACTTTAAGGGGAATTCAGAATGATGATATGAATGCTCAGAAACCGGAGGTGCTTGATATTGTGGTGGACGACGGTGGAGTATTAATGTCGCCGGAATTTGGGGTTACTAACAAATTGGTTGACGGTACCGTACCGAATTCTTCCGATGGCTGATCGGAGTTTTATATGACAGTTGGTTCTGAAGGGAATGTAAATAGTAACAGTTTTAGAGGTACTAAAATTTTAAATATTTGTTTTCAGGATCTATCTTTAATTAGTTGTGGAGATCATTAACTCTTAATTTATTTTGAAACGTAAAAGAACTCTTTTATTAATTGAATATATATATATATATATATATATATATATATATAATTCATATCACTACTTAGAAATAGAGTATCAGTAAAGTTGTGTTTGGCACATGGGACGAGTAAAGTTGTGTTTGGCATATGGGACGAGACAGAATAGGACGGGACAAATCTCAGTGTCTCATGTTTGGTGTAGCATGGGACAGAACAAGAATTCATTGTACCACGTTTGGCACGGCATGGGACAGCGACAAGAACTGGGACAAGGTGGAACAGCATGAGACAAAAAAGGTTTTTCTTGTTTCATTAAAATAAGTAGAACAAGATGGGACAAGAATGAGACTGAAACTAAAATATTACTAATCTACCCGAGTTTGATATATAACCTTAATATGGTACTTGTTTTAATGGTTATCACTGCTTGTTTCGGCCGCCGCCACTACTACCGACGGTCACTGACGGCTACCTCCACCTCCTCGTCCACTACAACAACATCCTCCACCGCCTCTACAACCACCGTCCACCAAGTCCATTGCCACTTCTACCATAGTCGACCACCGACCATCATCGTCCATTGCCACCACCACTACCGTCGTTCTCCACCTTCAACTCCTCATCTACTGCAACAACCTCCTCCACGACCAACATCGACCACCACCATTCATTGCCACCTCACCTCCACTTTAACCACCACCACCACTATCTTCACTACATCAACCACAACTACCTCCTCCACCATTGTCAACCGCCATCGCCACCACAATCTACCATCTTCATGTCTTCTATAACCACCGTCGTCCATCAAGCACCACTGCCTCTATCTCCATAACCACTGTCGGCCACCGACCACCATCGTCCATTGCCACTACTACCGTCGGCCACCACCACCTCTACCATAACCAAAACCACTTCCACCACCACCACTACTACCATCAATTATATCAAAATTTTCATTCAAATTTGGTACAAATATGAAATTATGTACAAATATTTATTCTTTAATTATTTACTTTATTTGTGTTAATTGTAACTATTATATAATATTTAAAATCATCAAATAACTTTTTGGGGTAACTTGTCTAGTTCTGTCCCGTCCAGTTATAATTTTACCAAACACCAGACATACTCTTGTTATTTCAGTCATGTTTCGTCCTGTCCTGTCATGTTCAGTCCTGTCCAATTATGTCTGCGTACCAAACGCTAATGGTTATTAGCGACAAATAGGCTAATTTTTGTAGCCGACATTATTACTTACATATATATTGTATCACTAGTGGTATACCTGAGTGATGTAGCGCGGGTGAATCACAAGTTTGAAACATTAATTTAGCCTTGAATCATGAGTTTGTGTGGTTATTTTACAAGTCAACTAATATATAAAGTTGAAGGTTAATATGGTGTATTAGCAAGATCAATTGGAAAAATAATTGCACACATGTTGAGTTTCTAAACCCATATAAAGTTGAAGGGTTGGGGTGGGGTACATATAGTATCTGAAACTCTTTCTGATATTGTTGCTTCAAAATTCAGTTTACTTCAAGGGAAAAAAGAGCTTTGAATTTGAATTTGGGTTCAAAATAAGAAACAAACAAAGTGTCAAACAAATTTGGGAAGACCAAACATATCTTTTTCATGTAAATATGGCTTACTTAAATATGAAACTTTGACTAAACAAATTATGCTTTAAGCATTTGTACATTATGCATAATAGTTTGTACTTAAGAGATTTTTGAATCTTTTGCATAAATTGATAGTACTTTATGCTTTAAGACTTGTAATTAAGACTTTTGGTCTAAATGCTTATTAATGTAGTGTATATATATATATATATATGTAATTAAGACTTTTGGTCTAAATGCTTATTAATGTAGTGTATATATA